TCCCTTGAAGTTGCTGCTTCAATTAAACAGGCCAGTACAATTTCTAATGTTTTGCTACAGATTTAATCCCTTATTTTAGACAGAAAACACCCTTTTTATATTGGACATATTCGTGCTCACTCTATGTTGCCGGGCCCAATGGCAAAGTGTAATGACTTAGTGGATCAAGCAACTCGGGCTGTGGCTCTGGTCGCTGCTGATCCTGTAAAATTGGCAGAGGATTTTCATAGGTTGCATCATGTGCCTGCAAATACCCTTAGGAAAAGATATAATTTGCCCAGACATGTAGCTAGGAAAATTGTTAAAGCCTGTAAATCTTGTGTTACCTTTCTTCATCCTCCCCATGTGGGGGTAAACCCCAGGGGGTTGAGACCAAACGCCTTGTGGCAAATGGATGTTACTCATTTGACAGAATTTGGAAAGTTAAAATATTTACATGTGTCTGTGGACACCTTTTCTGGTGTCATTCATGCCACACCTTTGGCAGGAGAAAAGGTGTCTCACGTTAAAATACACTGCTTGGAAGCTTGGGCAGCTTGGGGAAAGCCCCTTAGACTTAAGACAGATAATGGCCCTGCTTATACTTCCCAGGGTTTTCGTGCCTTTTGTGCACAACTGCAAGTTGCCCACACTACCGGGTTGCCTTATAATCCTCAAGGACAAGGTATAGTGGAAAGAGCCAATAGAAGCATAAAAGAAATGCTTCAAAAACAAAAAGGGGGAATTGCTGAGTCAGCGTCCCCCAGGGAAAGACTTTGCGCTCTTTACCCTCAATTTTTTAATTTTAAATGATAAAGACCAGTCTGTAGCAGACCGGCATGTGACAAGAGACTCTACAGACAACAAAGACATGGTTATGTGGAAGGATGTCATTGATAACAAATGGTATGGACCGGATCTGGCTATTATGAGATCCAGGGGAGCTGTTTGTGTTTTTCCACAGGATCAAGAAACACCACATTGGGTCCCAACTCGGCTAACAAGATTGGTCAAGGAAACTCAGGACGAAAAACAGGATGATCAAGAAGGCGTTGAGTGTGATAATATTACTGATGGTCAAGACCTATCACAGTCAAGGAGAGCTACGATGTGGGATCCTATCGGTGTTCCCGAGGCCGATGCCAGTTAGGCACGATGCCCGCCTTTTTCCAAGGTTATTTAGTACTAACAAAACCATGGATCTCCCGTACCTCACACTGGATGTGGAAGAAGCGCCCATCAGAAAAAATCGATCCATTTCCCTAAACGGGAGCTTGTGCTTCCAATTGGTTAAAAATGCATCTGCCCTTTCTCCAGGCATCCTGCTCTTATCTCAAACAGCAGTTATCTTTTAGGTAATTGGACTGGCGAGTTTGATGAGATGCTGGAGAAGCTGCGGATTGCCATTGTGACTGTCAATTCCACGCGAATGGATCCCGGATTTGTGGAGGGGCTCCAGTCCTAGATTTCCTCCGCTGTTTCCTGGTTCAAGGAATGGGTGGGGGTGGGGTTTATTTTTAGCTTGCTGCTTGGGCGGATGCGTGGTCTGCCTATGGTTGGTCTGTCGCCTTCGAGCCCAAACCAGTAGGGACAAAGTTGTTATTTCGCAAGCATTAGCCGCCTTGGAGAGTGGATCCTCACCCCAAATTTGGCTGTCGGCCCTGAGAGGTCATTAAGCCTTATCATTTCGCATAGCCCTAGCACCCCGAGGGATCTGGGGATCCCATTGCACCGGGACGGGTATGTGACTGATAACTTGGAACAGGGTGCAAGGCAAGTGCACTGCACTTGAGAAGAATTTTCCTCTCAAGAAGAGCACGTTGGGCTGCAAGTGGGTTGATGCCCAAGATCCCACCTCTGCAAAAAAGGCATCGGACGGGCCTGGTCGTCACTGGGGAAGGCGCCCCCCAAGCGAAGGCCAGTGCAAGGTCCTCTCTTTGAGACAGAGGCCCGACCTCTACTCTTACCTGTTACCAAAACAAAAAGGGGAAACTGCAGGGAGCCAGGACAAACGCCATTACAAGATGGCGCCCACTTCCTTTCAGCTTAGAGGTAAACGACTCCATATTAGGCAAGTGCTTGGCGGGGCTGCGGGTCCCTAGCTTTGCGCATGCGCCATCATTGTAAATCCTGAGCCAATCCCGTGGCACCTGGTGACGGTAGAAGGCAGACAGCCAATCCTGAAGCGACCCGTGTTCCAAACCCTATATAAGCGGCTGTATTTCCTTGCTCGCTCTCTTGCGCTCAAGCTCTCCCTTCAACTAAAAGGCTCTCCAATAAAGTGTGATCTGAGAAGACTCCTGGTGTGGTGGTCGTTCTTCCTCGCTGGTCGAGAAGGCGTTCGCCGCAAGAAAATGCATAGCAGCAAGGAAAAAAAATCCAGCCAAACTGTTGGTTTCCCACCATGTTTTATTCTCTTGACATTGTTTTCCCTGATGATGATATTTTAAAAATATTTAGTTATTATAATACTCTGGATTCCATTTCTAATGACAGGAATTCTCTGAGGGAATAAACACAATGTTGTAGAATGCTACACATGAAGACAGATGACTCTGAGGGTATAAAAGCCTGAACTAGCCAGTTCTATGCTATGAACTGATAAATGTGCAGAATTGGTTTGGGAGTGGGGATAGTTCGTCTTCATAACTTATAGACAGCCAGCAGCCCTTTACATATGATCCAAGGGACTAGTCCCTGGTGGCTCTCTGCCACTAGTCATTTATGGAAGTGCATGTGATAGGACTCTACAGAGAGAAGCTTGGCTGTGATCCAGCATGATAGAAACCATTTGAAGTACTTGTATGGAACTGGAACAGGACGATTTCATTGTGAGCTCCTTGTCCTCAGCCAGTGTACAGGTGTATAGTTCCAGCAGGGAACCACACAAAGAGCCTATAAGGTAAGGAATGGAGGAGATGAGGACTCTTGGTCCTAGAATTGAAGCAATCCCTTAGGGGGATAACAATAGGAAAACTGGATGATACTCATCCAGTCAAGAACATTAAAGCTAGACAAGAAGAACTCAGCTCTTATCTAAGAGCATGAGCCCTGAGCACAGAGGCTCAGGGCTGCTTTCTGCAGCTCTGGTTTCCTTCTCTGGTTGAAACTTTGTCTCCTGGGAGTAGTTAGCTCCGCAGAGAAGAAAGTTCATTGTTCAAAAATTGAGCACCTTCACTATGGATGGATGGCCAGGTATTTTGGGATCAGGGCACACCTGGTGGAGGTGGTTTCCATTTTCATTCCCATCATCCCCACCCTTCCCCCAAGTCATCATCCTAACTTCTGTCCTAGTCCCTTCCAGTGTTGCCCAGGGACAGCACAGCCACTCAGAACTTCTAGAACATTCTGTGCCAGAGAAGTCTTCTTTGAAGTCAGCTGGCCTCATCCTCACCTCTCTGGCTGTGTAGGTGTGAGGAGACCTTTGATGCTGAGTACGCCAAGCACTTCCACAGGAATTACATATGCTGAGACTCTAGAGGTTCTGGGTTCAAAAGGCCAAGTTCATCTCAGAGAACGTGGAAGTCTCGATGTTCCTCTGCTCAGCTGTCCTTGATGTCCCACGGGCAGGGGACTGTAGAGCCCTGGAGGAAATCCCTGCTTTGGCAACTGCTCAGCCTCCATTTCTAAACCCTTCTGTAGCCCTCTTTCTGCCATGCCCAGCGCTCCTGGACACCATCTTCACAGGGACCCCAAAAGAGGGTGACAGGGACAGATAAGAATGAACTCCATCCTCAGATCACCTACGTAAGTGATGCAAACTGGAAATGTGTGAGAACTTGAGGTGCTGACCAGGTGACGGCATCTTTGGAGGCAGCCAGCGTGATGGCTTACAGTGTGAACACAACACAAAGTCTCTTGATGCGAGAGACTCAGCAAGGGCTTCCTGGGCCAGCAGCAAAGAACCTTCTAGGTCATACTGGCTCTTCTCAACCTATGTGCCCCCTGTGGTTTTCAACTTCCTCACAAATCTAAGGCTAACTTCCCCACAGAGACAGAGTGTGGCTATTGTTTCTCATGACAATGGTGTAGGCAGTGATGCTTTGAATTAGCCTAAGAATGAAAATGAACAATCACCTGCTCATACTGCAGACTGTTTACAACTCCAAGGACCAATCTGACTCCTCATTTCTTTGTCCTGGTGAAACTTTTACTGTGAAGTGCTCCAACTCCTCTGACAGCAAGGCTTTGGAACACCTCTTCATTTTAAAAGCCCCCTTGAAAGGAAGAATCCTGATGAAGAATGGAGGACCAAAATCAGTATGAAGTTGATGAATTTGTGATCAATGGACACACTGTTTTAAAGTTCTAGAATAAATTGAAAAATCCAGGGTGGATCGATGTCTTCTAGTGGGAACTGTTCTTCCCTTCACCTCTAAAGATGAACTCAAAGCATGTTCAGGAGATCTTCTTGGCACCTCTCCCTTCTATCTCTCAAACAGTCCTCAGCCCTTACCAAACATTAGACAGGGCCAGATCATGAATGGGAGAGAAGTCAGAGAACTCTGAAAGGAGATGCCATTCATATTCTGGGTCTCTAATGTGAAACAGTGGAGAAATATCCGGGTGTCAATGACCACCTGAAAGGAGAGACACGAGGAGAGGGCCCAGAGACCCCGTGTGAGCTGTGGGCAGCAGCAGTGTGGCATGCGGAGGGGCTCCACCAGGCAGACCTCGCTCTGAATCAGCTGTGTAGAAATCGACTTCTGAGGAGCCATGATTTCTGCGTTTTAAGCCCCGCCATTTTCTCCTCTTACTGATTCTGATCTTAACTCACAGTAATGTTTGTTCCTTCTTCCTGGCTCCTGATAGAAGGTGCATCTCAGGGCTGCTGGCATCTTTGGCTTCATTAATATCAAGTTACTCCAGGGCTCAGTGATGTCACTGTAGCACCTCCCAGTGGGACAAGGGCTGCCCTCCTCTCCCATGGCTACTTACAAAAGACTGTGATAGGGTGACTTCCTCCTCCTCCTCCTCCTCCTCCTCCTCCTTCTCCTCTTCTTCCTCCTCCTCCTTCTCCTCCTCCTCCTCTTCTTCCTCTACCTCCTTTCCTTCTACCATGAGCACCAGGCTCCTCTGCTGGGTGGTCCTCTGCCTCCTTGGCACTGGTAAGTCATCAAGTAGCACTAAGCAAGCAGTCCTGTTGGGAGTGTGTGTGTGTGTGTGTGTGTGTGTGTGTGTGTGTGTGTGTGTGTGTATACGCACTTGTGTGTAATGATTTGAAAAAGAATGTCCTTCTGTATTCCAAGGTCATACTGAATCTGGGGTCTCCCAGTCTCCTCAACACAGAGTCACAAAGAGGGGACACACTGTGCTACTCAGGTGTGATCCCATTCCTGGACACCAGCGACTTTATTGGTATAGACAGACCCCAGGTCAAGGCCTAGAATACCTGACTCACTTCCAGTATGAAGTTGCTGCAGAAAAACCTGAGATGCCTGTTGAGTGGTTCTCTGCACAGAGGCCCAATGGCTCCTTCTCAACTTTGAAGATGCAGCCTGCAGAGCAGGGAGACTCGGCCCTGTACCTGTGTGCCAGCTGTCAGACACAGTGTGCCTCAGCCCCCTCCTTCCTGAGCACAAACCATAAGGGCTCAGCCTCCTCCCACTTCCCAGAGACCCAAACTCAGGAGTTGCCTGGCCTGCTCCTCATCAAAGGGAATGAAGGATTTGGAACCAGAATGGAGATCTGACAGCAGGAGGAAAGGAAAGATCCACTGAATTACTACAACAAGGAAGTCAGGATGAAAAAACCTGGACTAAGCTTTCTGACATTACAATTATAGTCAAGATTTCACATCTGGGATTGGACTTGAAAGCTTAATCTCAAAGACAGTGAAAATATCCTCTTATAAGACTATAAAATGTTACACAATTGTAGCAAACTCCTGAGATAAATGTCACTAACTCACACATATAAAAATTAAAGAGTGAGCCAGCCAGAACAAAGGAACACTAAAGCAGTTTGTAGCAATCAGCCCTTTAAAAAACTGTAGAATGGTAAGTAAGAATTACCATCAAAATCAATTATCCACAAGCAACTGTCACCAATAGTAATACACATTAACTATGTCCATACAATGTTTTTAAATTTCTTTTGACAATCTCAGTCATTATTTAAAACTCTTCTACTCATAGCAGGTTTTAAACTGAAAATCTAATTTTGCTTGATTTTATAAAATACAACTCATATGAGGTGCTTAAGATCCAGACAACAGTTCCTCTACATTGTAGGTTTCTTTGAGGCTTCTAAAGTACATGTGCCAATTTATACTCACACCAGAAGCATGGAAAACTTTCAGTTTGTTTTCTCTGTTTTAGATTTTCAATTGTTTGTTACTTGCACATTATTTGTTGCTAAATTTTTGCATATATTTACATAATACAATGTGGAAATTTAATATATGTCCATCTTTTGAAGAGTTTTTAAATAATTTTTGATTAACCTATTGTAACTGCACGAATTGCTGCTTGTTGTAAATAACTATTTCTAGTTCAATAATTTGAAAAACAAAAGGTCTTAAGAACCAATCTCTCCATTTCACCCTTTTTTAGTTTGCAATTCATATTTGTTACTGTTTTAAGAAAGTGCTATTTCAAAATGACCATGCTTTCTTGTATTTCCTTGTAAAATTTTTGAATCACCCCTATCACCACAAAGTCTCAAGTTATACTTGTTAAATCAACAAAAGACAATAGAATTAAGAAAGTGGTAACCCTACCCCACAACTTGGACTAACCGAACTAAGAAAGGCACTGGTGGTTCACACCTGTAATCTTAGGTACTCAGGAGGCTGAGATCTGAGGATCATGGTTCAAAGCTAGCCTGGGTAAGAAAATCCAGGAGACTCTTATCCCCATTTAACCACCAGAAAACCAGAAGTGGCACTAAGGCTCAAGTGGTAGAGTGCTGGCCATGAGCTGAAGAGCTCAGAAATATCACCCAAGCCCAGAGTTCAAGCTCCACAACCACCACCACCAACAACAACAAAAGTAACAAGAAAGAAATGGAAGGAAAAAGACTACCAAAATGTAGACACCAGTACAACCAGATGAACATTCAAATCACATCTGAGTAGTGTCAATGTCCTTATTAAGAAGTATGGAGGTTGGACCTAAGTAGAAGACCACAAACACAACAAAACAAATTGCAACAAATCTAGATGTCTCCTACAAAAACTTCAGTCCTCAAGTATAAAATAACAGGATAGGAAAAGTAAAGAGACAGAAAAAAAGAACCATACTGATATTACTAGAGAAGATCAAATCAGTACATTATTATCAAATTAAATTTCAGAGTACAGCATATCATCTTGCAATCGAATAATATATTTTATTATATATAATAAGGATTATATGTATTGTGTCTACTCTACATTTTATACGTAAATATATATGGGACATGTATTCATAATTCAAATAATTTCTATGAATCAGTTAGAAAAAAAGAAATGATTCAACCTAAAAACTAGCTAATTAGTTGTACAGGATCTTACGGAAGATACACAAGCAGGCAGCTTCCTCTTCATATGGCTGCTCCATTGGCTTCCACAGCCATGGAGAAGACTTCTTGACTGAGGGAATCCACAGTGCTTGCCTTCTGGGCATCAACACGGGTTGAAGACATCGACAGGGTCCCAACACACTGAGGACACCTGGCAAATACGACTCTCGGGTTTCTCCATTCTTACCACACTATTTGAAAGGAAGAAGTATTTTTCTTCTCATTTTAGACAAGAAGGGCTGTTGCACACCTCCCTCACTTCCACAGGCAAGAGCTGAGACTGCAACAGGCAATAAAGGCCTCCAGGGCTGTCTGGGGGCTGGCCGACCCTGGGGCCAGCTCCTGGTTCAGGCAGTAGAGTGCCATTCCAGTAATGAGCAGAGCTGATCACCAGGGGGCAGTGTGGGCCCACTGAGCCAGCTGCTGCCTGACTGGGAGAGTGTGGGTTCAGCCTTGGCCTTTGGTCCCAGGCAGGGATGTGTTTAGATAAACACAGGGAGTGCTGGCCCAGGAGAGGAGAATCCTCCCTCCTCTCTCTGTTTCTCTGTGTCTGTGTCTCCTCACACCCCTCTCTCTCTTTCTCAGACCTGTGCCCTCAGTAGGGAGATGATGCCTGGGGCTGCTCCCCTGGACTCTGCCCCAGGCCCCAGGCTCCTCTGTGGTGTTGTCCTGTGTCTCCTGGGAGCAGGTGAGTCAGGGGCTCTGGTGGGGCAGAGCCTGGTTGCTGGAGGATCCTATGCCCTCCTGGGCTAGGGCTTCATTGCTGTCTCTTCCTGTCTAGGTGTGGTGCATGCTGGGGTCCTCCAGTCCCCCAGACACCTGATCAAAGCCAAGGGAGGAAAGGCCACTCTGCAGTGCTCTCCTGACTCTGGACATGATACTGTGTACTGGTACCAGCAGGCCGAGGACCAGAGCCTCCAGTTCCTCATTTCCTATTATCGAGAGTCAGAGCTAGGGAAAGGAAGCATCCCTGGCCGCTTCTCAGCTCGGCAGTTCAGTGACTATCACTCTGAGCTGAACATGAGCGCCTTGGAGCTGAGGGACTCCACGCTGTATCTGTGTGCTAGCAGCTTGCACAGCCCTGCACAGGGACTGGCTTTCTCTACCCAAACCTTCCTGCCCCAGCTGAGGATGTCACTGAGGGAGGGGTGGGGGACTGAGGCCCAGCCTTAGCAAACCCCAGGAGCCTTCTCCAGCTGTGGTAACCCTTCTCTGTCCTGCCCAGCTCAGACAGCTTCTGAGCATTTTATTTCCTAACTCTCTGGACTGTCTCTGCTCTGTGCCCTAATGCACATTAGATATTATAATGCAAACACAGTCATTATAGTATCCTCTTTATATGCGGGAGATGTTAAGGTATCAGTTCATAGATGGAAAGCTGTAGCTCATGGATTTCGTAACATTTAATATTTAAAAGGATCAGAGACCTAGGATGGAAGTATACTTTCTACCTCTCTTGCCTGAAGTGCTCCAGAGGTTCTATGGTGTTTTCTGGTGTGTAATACCAGGTAGCACAGCACTGTCACTCCACTGCAAGGTGGTGTTGCTATGACACAGTGCCTGTCCATCAGCTTCCAGTGCAGAAACCATTTAGCCAGAGAATATTGGCCCTATGATTACTTGAAGATGAGATACATGTTTTCAACAAAGTAAAAGTAGTGGTTCAGTAATGAATTTAAAAGTAAATAGAAAGTAGATATTTATAGGTGAGATTTAGCTACCCAAGGAAATTCTTTCAAAGGCTATCATACTAGGTAGATAATACCTTAGTTTGAAAATGGTCCTCAGAGCTTTGGTAGTCCATGTGTCTTTAACCTGACCCCTCAAGAAAAATGCAAGTCTCAGCTAGAATCAAGTGTGTATCCTACAAAATTGAGAAGAGTTAGGGAAGGGTGTGGGGTAGGAGAAGGATGGGTGAGAATGTTGCAAGGGGTGTCTTATAGACACCCCTATAGATCACTATAGATCATCCTCATCACTGCTCTGTTAAATGGAAACTTTCTCTTTACATGCCTTGGCCCAACTGTGCTCCAAAGGCTCCTTTTGTTGGTGTCTCTTAGTGTCTGGGACCATCTGGTTCTTTCAAGGCCTGAGCACCAGGCTCTCATTGGATTCTGTACACCTGCTGAGGTCCGTCTGATTCTGTATTCCTCTCACTAGACCAGGAGTGCAGCAATGTCCATCAAGATACAGAAGTTATGGTTGAGTTGATGTTATGCTTTTGGTAAATAGAAATCTCTGAAGGAAGTCAGACAATGTCTGTGTGATCCTGCAAATGGCAGTCCTCTATCTCTGCTAGTCAAATTCTTCTTCCTATTAGTAATCAACCTTCTTATCCTTTGACAGAAAGCACAGACAAGAGAACATCGGTGATCCCGGATACGTGGCGGGGCTGAAAGCAGGGAGAATTCATCTCCATGAGGCCAACTGCATTCTGAGCCCAGAGGGCTCCTGTCACCTGAATCACTGTGCAACTATATTCTGGGTCTTTACCTTAAGTCTGTGATACCTGGTGTCTGGGGGCTTCTGAAGGTTGGGATATCTTCTCAGACTGACATTCAATTCTTTAGAGATTGGGCAAAGAGAAAAAAACTAATAAAAGCTACCTGTAGGTACTTAAAGCCAAGATGCCATAGAAAGCCAGAGGCCAACCCTGAGGCATTTTTGAGTATGACTGAATATTAGGAACAATTGGAAAAGAGTAAAGACAGGGAATTGTATCAAAATGAAAGTAAAATAAGACCAGAGGAACAGATGTCCTTCCTAAGATTAAGAAAACACTAAAATAGATAGTTCTAGCTAATAAGAAATTAAAATTGGCACTCATTATGAACTGTTAAATCGTGTATATGCACTACCAGTACTCGTATAAATGCCATAACCCTGTGCATGCACATAACAGAAAGGAGTTGTTTCTGCAGGTAAGAGGTGTGGTAGGTTAGCAGCAGACCAGGCATTGGTGGGGAGGTGAGGCCACTGAGTCACTGAGAAGCAACCTTCTTTTTCCTCCAAAGGAGGCTGGGAGACATGGGACTCTGCCCTGCTCCTGAGATGGGCGCCCAGCTCCTGCACATGGCCTTCTGTCTCCTGTGGGCAGGTGAGGGATGGCTTCAGGTGGGCACCTCACTGCCTCCCACCCCAGGGCATCCCCGGCTTCTCCTTGACAGGCCCCTTCAGACTTGGGTCATT